ATCTTCTCTCTGCAGAGAGGCTGGTGGGTTTGAACTGCCAATCTTCTGGTTAGCAGTCAAATGCCTTAGGCACTATGCCACCAGAGCTCCTTGACAAATATATCCATGAATGTAGTAGAGCATATGGGGGCAAAGTTATAAAATCTTTTAGCCATCACCAAACACCTTGAGGGAATGAGTCATTGGGCATGGGGGTTCAGAACCATAATATCAGGGGACATCAAGATCAATTAGCATATCATAGTCCACAAAGTCAGCATTCTACATTCTACTTTGGTAAGTAGTGATTGGGGTCTTAAAAGCTTGTGAGTGGGAACTATCGGTCTGTACCTGCCCAAAGCAAAAAGAGTGAAAATCAAAGATGCGAGGAAACAATTAGCCCAAAGAACTAATGGACCAAGTGAGCGTCCTAGCCTCCATGACCCTGAGACCAAAAGAACTAGTTGGTAACTCGGCTACCACTGCTGACTGCTCTGAAAAGGATCACAATAGGAGGTCCTGGATAGAGTTAGAGAAAAATGTGGAACAAAACTCAAAATGATAAAAAAGACCAGGCTTACTGGTCAGATGAAGTCTAGTGGAACACTCTAGACACCCTTCAAGCCAGAAACTGAACTCAACTCCCACTGCTCAACTTTCAGTCAAATGATAGATGGGCCTATAAGGTGAAAAGTAATACCAGGATAGTATGCACTCAACCATGTGAGAACAAGAGGGCAACATATGCCCAGGGATAGAGCTAAGAGGTGGAAGAGGACAGGAACAAAGGACCAAGGGAAGGAGTGGGCACAGGGGCGGAAGTGTGAAGACTACTGTCACAAAACGTAGTATGTATGGATTGTTGAATGGAAAACCAGTTAGCTCTGTAAACTTTTATCTAAATCACAATTAAAAAAAAAAAGTGACAGCAACAAAAATATGTTTGATAGGATCTTCCTTCTCCCTGCCTTTGCCATGTAGCAGTCTTAGAATGCCAATTTATAGCAAAACAAATACGTTCTTTAGAATACTTGTATTTTGGGACTCAAATGTATCAAAGATCCTGGAGACGGCACAGGCCTGGGCAATGTTTCCTTCTGTCATACTAAGCGTGCCAAGAGCCAGAGCTGACTCAATGGCAACTAACAACAACAACTTGTCTTTTATGCAAATACAGAATTATGTTCACTTTAGAGATATATTCCACTTTTTGCCCCCCACCCTTTAAGGAATAATGATTGTCTTTATGTCAAAGCCAACCAGTGTGGGGAGAAGAGCTCCTTCCAGGAGACAGAGGCTACGGATCCTCATAACCCAGGCAGCCTCTTACAGCCCAACTTACCGAAGTCGGGAGGAAGTTGGTGATCTTGCTTTAGGATGACATGGAGATAAAGCCCTTCTGATGCCAGATGGAAGATGAAAGGGTACGTTTTCTCTTTCTCTCTCTCTTTTATAGCCCTACATTCAGAGAAACACAGTCATTAGATTTTTCCACGAGTGAGGCAACCACAATGACAGTGTTCTGCAGTGGAACTGTAAACTATTTCATGCCTTTTTGGGAAATTTAAAAACTTTACCACATATACTCAGTCCAATCCAACACAAAAGGCTCTTGTTAGCTTAAAACTGAAATTATAACTGAATTAACACATGACACTAATAAGTTTCTGAATGTGTGATTTGAGTTATATTGTGAAAATTTTACATTTACACTTTTAGAGAAGACCTGTAAGTTGTGTGTAAAATGACTTGGAGCAAAACCTCTCATACTCTGGTTCACCCACAAAAACATTAAAATGAACAGTTACAATGAACAGTCTTGTCATTTCTTCCCCACTTTTTAATTAAAAGCAAGTCTTTCTCTTTTTCATTCTTAAATCTTTTCTTTCTTTCTTTCTACCCATGGAACATACCATAGCTCAGCCTTTTTTTTTTTTTAATTTGTATGTCCTCTATAGTAGACATTAATCCACTTTTCTCTTTATGATGATATTATAGAAACATATCCTTCCTCACCTAGTGTCCTCTTGCTTTTGAAGGAAATTCAGATTCAAGGTAAGGAGTTTTAGCTATTTTTACTCTTCTTTAGCAGACAAAGCATCAGACTTCTTTTGACTGCCAACTAGGAATTTAGCTACAGAGATGACACTTTCCGTAGGTTGAAATGGGCGAAAGAGAACCCATTTGTTCTGATATTTAGAACTCACATTTCTAAAGTCAAGTTAAAACAAAACAAAGCAACAACCACAACAAAAAAAACACAAGTAACTTCACAGGGCAAAAGAGACTGTGATGGTTCATGTTACATGTCCGTTTGGCTAGGTCATGAGTCTCAGTATTATGTAATTATTCTCCATTTTGTAATCAGCCAAACAGTTGAAAGGGAAGTTTATTTGGGCGTGTGGCCTGCATCCAATATATATGGAGGTTCTGGCAAACTCTTTCTTGATCCTGTATTTCAACTCACCACCATCTGACCTCTGGTTCTTGGGCTGTGAGCCAGCTGCTGTCTGACTGGCCAATTTTGGGTTTATCAGTCCCTGCAACCAAGTGAGTTAGGAGAAACTCCAGCCTAAGTCCTGATTCATGGATTTGGGACTTGCCAGCAGCCACAATGGTGTGAGCTGTTTCCTTGAAATCTCTTTCGCTCTCTACACGCTTCACTGCTTTTGCTCATCTAGAGAACTTAGCCTAGGACAGAGGCTAATCCCAAGTACCTGCAACTTTCCTACAATGTTTCTTTAAAATATGAGATGGGAATGGATGCTTGCTGGAGGCATCTGTGTGAACACCTAAGTCAGCCCTTCATTCTGTGGGGCCCTTGCAGTAAATCAGACTATATGAGTGCAACTGAATGGGCAGAATATTATCCAGCCAGGCAAGGAATAAGCTGGCAGTGTAACTTCTCTTCTTTTCCAACCAGCTCAAACATCAACTCCTCTATTCATTCCCTTCCCTTTTGTTCCCATCAGTAGCCCTCTAATTGCCTCTCCCCATTTGCCTTCATAGCGTCCTAGGGATGGCAGCATGCTAGGGATGGGTATTTGCTGTTAGCTGCCACTGAATCGATTCCTGCTCCTAGTGACCCTATGTGTGCAGAGAACCATGCTCCATAGGGTGTCCAACATCACGTCACTTCAGAAGAAGAATGCCAGCCCTGTTTTCTGAAGTGCCTCTGGATGGGTTCGGAAGCCCAACTGTTTGGCTAGTAGCTATGCATTTAATTGTTTGTGCTAAATGTCAAATAGTATTTGATATCTTCCTGGAATTTCTAAGTAGAACAAAGAATGGGTCAGGAATGGGCTTCATAAAGCGTGTGTCAACTCTACAGCATATCCAGCTGCATGACAACCCTTTGGGCCCACAAGGCAGGAGGTGGAGCCTTAGAGGGCAGCTGCAGCCACCATATGGGGCCCTCTTGGCAGGTGCACAGGACAGCAATTATGCCCCTGGCAGATCAGTCCCCAAGGTGGAATGCTCAGGGCTATCCCCAAGGGAGGGCCAGGGGTAAGCACTTTGTTTTCTTCCTCCAAACATTTGACAGACCTAGGAGAAATCTGAATGGGAAAATAAATCAGGCAACACAGTCTGTGACTTGTGGGGCTGGGGGAAGAATTTGTATCTTTGTGGTTGGATAACATGGGGATTAGGAAAGGAATCTATATATAAAGTAGGTCATCCTCACATAGTCTTCTTTTTATTAAATAGTCATTGAGCCAGTTACTTTCCTCTCCAAAAATTGTGGCTCGGTGCCATCAAGTCGGGTCTGACTCAGAGTGACTTTATGAATAACAGAACAAAATGCTGCCTGGTTCTGTGCCATACCCACAATCACTGCTGTGGTTCAGCCTGTTGTTGCAGTCACTGTGTCAATACAAAATTCACCTCCATTGAATCACCCAGGGCCAACGAGCAATCAGGGAGGAGTGGCTTGGAAACATGCTCAACATGTGAGATAAATGCCCCATTCTCAATAGGCTCCCTGGACCCAGAAGAACTCTCATGCTGGTTTACTCTTGACATGGTTTTTCACATTTGCAGAGAACACCCTCCAAGGTAGGTAGATTTTTTAATCCTCTTAGTTGTTTTAAAGTTCCTTTTATGGGTCTCGGTATCCAACTACATTTTTGGGTGCCACATGCGTACAGGGTACTTATGCAAACCTGAGTTAGCAGCCAGCACTCTGTATAATAACCTTTCCTTACGGCATTTTTCACAAGATTGAGGGGAGTACATGCGGCAGTCTGCCCATGTCAATGGTCCACGTTTTCTGGGGCTTGCCCAACCTCGATAAGCGGTTAAGGCACCCTGGGTGTTGCTGCTGAGACAGACTACCCAGAGAAAATCTCGGGTCTTAGAGAGTCCTCAAACTCAAAAATAGCACAGTGTACCCCAGTAGGAGAAAGACTTAAATTTTACAATTAGAGGTGAGATTTAGAAAACATATCCCTATCCCAGCATAGACAATATGCTGACAGACACTCCAAGGCAGTTTTGTCCAACAGAACCTTCTATGATGATGGAAATGTTTTAAATCTTATGCTGTCCAATATAGGAGCCACTAGGCAGATTGAAGGAGCTCTGGTAGCATAGTGCCTAAGGCACTTGACTGCTAACCAGAAGGCTGTAGGTTCAAACCCACCAGCCACGCCTCGGAAGGAAGGTTGGGCAATCTACTTCCATAATGTTACTGCCTTGGCAACCCAAGGAGGGGTCGCTACGAATCAGGGCCAACTCAGTGGCACATAACAATACTCAGATTGAAGGAGCCATGGTGGCACAGAGGTTAAGAATGCAGTTTCTAACTAAAAGATTGGGAGTTCAAACCCACCCCGCCACTCTGAGAGAGAAAGCCCTGGCAATCTGCTCCTGTAAAGATTACAGCCTACAAATCCCTGGAGAGAAGTTCAACCCTGTCATATAGGGTCACTGTGAGTCATAATTGACTTGAAGACACATTACACCACAATAAGCTAGATTTGGCTATTTGAACTTAGATTTAAGTTCAATAAAATTAAAAGTTCAATTTATCAGTCTCACTAAACATATTTGAAGTTCTCAATAGTAGCAAATGGAATTTAGAACTAAAGGAATTAAAACTTAAATAATTATAATTCAGTTCATCAGTCTCACTAGCCATATTTCAAGTATTCAATAGTCACATGTTGGTTAATGATTACTGAATTGCACGCTCAGCTCTAGAATGCTTTCTCCTCTTGGAGCTCCTAGAGTCATTTTCTGGCAGTAGATATTTGTTTAATACTTGCCTGTAAAGATGTGAAAAGAAGGCCAATAGCCCAAATACAGAAAGAGCAAGGCATAAAAAAAGAAACCGTGTGAGAACATGGAGGCTTTGGATCACATGAAAACAAATCCTTCTCATACTGCTGGCCAAGTGTCAGCTCTTGTCCTTCCTTCAGAGAGTGTTAATTTTTGTTTTTATCCATAAGAAATTTTTCCTTTTGTAAATGCTCTTCTTCTCTCTCCATTAACTACTCAACAGTTTGGTGTCAGAGCTATTCTGCTTAACCATAGGTCTTGTGTACAGCTAGGATACTAAAGCACCATGGTGCTAATGAATTAAAACAGCACAGACAACAAAGGAAGTTTCACCTTTGGCTTACAGGGCTGGAGGTCTGACTCAATCATGAATTAAACACTGATTCTTTAAAGCCTGAAGGGGCTTGAAAGAAAACTGCCTGTAGGCAAAACTATCAAGCTTTCACAACCCTGGAATTATCCTCAAAAGTCTAAGCAAAATCCTTTTATGTGTCCATCAGATTTATGAATTTGAATTGCTCTGGAAAGTTAAGATTTTAAAAAACTGTTGCAGCCATTCATTAAAGGAGTCATACTATTATCGTGGGAGAGAGGCAGTAAGATCTTCCAGCTAAATGGTGAATCCTTTAGAGCACAATGTCTGAAGACCAGAGAACAATATTCATGTCTTCCAGCAGATACAAAATAAGCATACAAGGTAAAACATTGAAGAAGAAAGATGCCAGGAAATACACAAATTACCTCATTACATTTATAGCATGGTGAAAACTAGCATTAGCTTAGCCACCTTGCTGGTAATAGTAAGTATAAATTACATTCTTCACTTTCAAACTTCTCATTTATAATACAGTCCAACAGCCTTTCAAGAATTAGTTACTTAGCAAATAACTAAAAAAAAAATAAAAAACAAAAAATACCTCCCTGCCACTGAGTCGATTCTGACTCCTAGCCACCCCCACTGAGTTTCCAAGATGGTAAATCTTTACGGAAGTAGATTGCCCAGTCTTCCTTTCCTGGATCCCACCAACTTGGTTAGCAGTCAAATGCCTCAGGCACTGCGTCACCAGAGATCCTTAGCAAATAAGTAGTGTTTTTTTGAAAAACTGTATTTAAGATATGGGCCTTGATAGGGATTGGCTAAGAAGATAAATATTCTTTATCTTCCTTTTTAGTGAGCCACATTTAGAAAAATAATAGCCAGTTTTTGAACATGATAGAATAAAAATGTTGAGGCACTAGTCAAGGCCCACTTCTCCTCCAAAGGTCACTTAGGTTTCTTAATCTCAAAAAAGAAAAAAAAAAAAAAGGTATTCTGGCATTGCATCTATTTGAACGGAAGTTCTGGCAGGGTAGGTCAGTCTCTCACACATGCCTGAACAAAGAACTGTTTTCATCTTCAAATTCTACTTTTTGTTGGAAGTAAAATCCACCAGTGGAAAGGAAGTATGAGCACTACTGCCCAAACAGGCAGATTCATGTTGGTGATAGGTGGGTGCGTATCCACTCTGCACAGAAACACCTGCTCCCAACGGCTACTCACCACTGTGCCATGAATGGTCCTCCTGCGTGCAGAGCCCTCAGGTGCGGTGACAAAGAGTTTTGGTCGCTCCATCGGATTTCTAGAGTGTGCAGTTTTGTAGGGCATGATGTTGATGGGGCTGCAAGATGCTGAACGAGGACAAATGGGGATAACTAGGGTGCAGGTGATTGTTTTAAACACAAGAGTGCCAGAGGAGCAATTGGAGGAAAGCCAAAAGCAGGTTCAGGAAAAGGAGCAAAGTAGAAACAGAGAGAAAAGTAGGAAGAAGATGTTATTGTCTAAAGGTACCCAGAACCACCATACTCAACTCTCATCATGGTTGTATGAGCTTATGATGTGTCCAGAAGGGAGGCATGTTCAAACAAAAAGGCTGGAATATACTATTAGCTGTTTGGCTATTGAAAAACTAATTAGACAAGGAGATGTAATCCAGTAGTAATGAGAGCAGACAGTGGCCTTATATTCTTTTCAACTGATGGTTCTGGTAAAATGCTGTATTAATGGTATAAGAAACTTTTTATGTAAGTTCTGTAATCAGATTTTTTCCTAATTAGCTTTAAGAGAGAATAAAAGGTGGAAAGAGGGGAAGCAAGCAAGAAGGTAAGCAAGACACGTGACAACTGTTCCAGGAGAAAAGTTCCAAAGCCAGTGGGAAAACAGCAACTGCATTTTGCACAATGTTCAATGATCAAGTCTCACCAGGTGTGAAGACTTGTTACAAGGATAATGTATAATTTTCAGGGGAAAAAAAATGTCTGCAAATGTTTCATCGATGCACGTTTCTTGTTTCATAAGCAGCAGCAATAGAACATTTGGGGAGATAAATTACAATGCTTTTAAATGGTAAATAGAACAAAGTATTAGAATTCAAGAAAAAAGAGGTTGACTTATGAACACCTTATATAGTTGTAATCAAAATAGAATATTTTCTAAATTTTTAAAAACCATATGGTTTCTCATCATCCACCTTCAAAAAACACTGTCATTAATCAAGTTACTCTGAGTAACAACAGGTTTAAATAAAGCCATGTAACTAACACAGCATATGTATCACAAGTGTGGGTAGTGAAATTCTAAGGTTCAATTTCCAATCTCATCCAGAAATCTTGTTTTCTAGCAAAAAATAAGACAACTGAACATGACTACTGAGGAGAAGACTAAGTATTTGGACCATGTTATAAAATGACTTTACCCAACTCTAGCCAGGGTACTAACTTTTAAAGAGAATGCTATACCAGCTGAATGTAATAGTACTAATAAATTAAAAACTAAAAAGTTCATAAGACAAGTCTGGTGTATTCTTAATTTCAGAATTATAGAAGTTTAGAAAAGTATTTGTTATTTAGGTTTTACACTGTAGACAGAAACAGATCAGATTTCATCTTTATTAATGTACTTCTCTCTTTAAATGCCGTACAATCATCTTCTGGTTATAACTGAACACTTAAGGCAGTGAAAAACATCAGACAGTGCACTCTCTTTTCCCATGATAGAAAAACAGAATTCTGTTTCTTCAGGATAAGACTAAAATACTTTGCATTCCCTCAGTTTTCCTTTTAAGAATATGTGTCTTAAGAATTGATATAAAATTTTCCTTTCGACCTTATTGGTGAAGGAAGGATGGTTTGTATTGTGAGGATGGATTTCTTTTCCTCTAGTGGAAAGAATAATTTCAGGGTGTATTGATGGAGCATTTCCTGAAGACCATTCTGGATGTGAGCCAATCCCATTATGCCTTCTGCTTCATCCTTTATTGTAGTCCTGAGGACGAAGACATCCTTATACTCACTCTACTGCTGCCTATGCAAAAATCCTCAAATTTAATTGTTCAATGATGACTTTCTGGCTAAAATAAACAATATAAACTCCTTCTAAGGTATTACATTTCATGGACTTTATTGCTGTTCTGAACAGTCAACTCCTATTAAAAGGCTGCAACCTTTAAATCCATTATTCTAAAAGTCTGTCCTTCTGAAGAAGTAAGAGCAATATATAGTGTTTCTTTCTTTCCCAGAGTACTCCCCATACCTTAGTCTCATGGAAATATCTTTGAGAAAGTCAAACGAACAGTCTCTCTATTCTCTCCTATTTTTGGTAGCAAGATTTCATATTGAAAATCATTTGAGATTTTCAATATGAAATAATGGGTGCAAAAGAAAGAAAATGTAGTTCAAGTGTTTGGAGTACAGTATACAGAACACAAAAATTGCATAGTAAAATAAATAGGCTAGTATTTATTGAGTGCCTAATATGTACAGGTACTATTCTAAACATTTTACATGCATTATCTCATTTAATCCTAAAGTTAATAATCACGTGTATTTTAAAGGTTCCAGGAAAAAAGGGAAGTGGGCACGAGAAGTCAATTCAAAGCAGTTATAAGCAACGGGATGTATGAGGCTTTAATTTCTAGTTCTCAACTGCTCTACTGCTAGCTCGAGGAGTCTGCAATCACTGAACAGCCCTAGAGGGTAAGGATGATGTTTAATGTGCTAATATAACCCAGGCTCCAGATGTAGGTCACCCTCTTGACAATGGCAACTGAGAATAAGATCAAGTTATGGTACAACACCAAATGGGAAGAGAAGAAAGAATAATCAAGGAGGGTAGATGGAAAAATAAAGGAGACGGAAAAAGTACGTTTGATAAGATAACTAGAAAAGATGTTTACATATATAATTCCAAACAGATTTTTTTTAAAATTGAAGAGTTTTGGTTCATTAAACATAAGATGTTTTAATGCAGTAAGTAACAAAGACCTATGAAATGTTTTAATGAAACAGGCAACTCAAATAAAGAATGTAGACTGAGCCACACTAAAATGAATTATAGATGTGTATTGATTTGTGAAAAGGACAATGAAGAGCTGCAAAGTACAGAAGAGCCAGTGAGCAGACAAAAAGCACCCTGACTGAGCAAAACAATGAAGAAAGAAGGTAGGAAAATGCACAAATAGAATGGGTGGAAATGAGGAAATGGTGTTGGAAAAGACTAGAGAAAGAGTGAAAGAATTGACAAAAGTTAGTGACGACAGAAAAGGAGAGAAAGATAATTTTCTTGCTACATACAAAGCAATCTTTCAGCACACAACAACATACAATGTGGAGATTCAGAAGCATGGCAGCCATAAAATACATGGATCGTATGGAATAGGACTGAAAAGCAACTTTGAAGGTTCTTCACTTAGCCAGGCATGAAGAAAAATATTCTTTTTTTAAAATTGCATTTTTTTTGTTTCATTATAGTTTCAGACTTACAGAAAAGTTACAAGAATAGTACAAAGAATTCCAAGATACCCTCATCCAGATACTCCAAATGTTAACATTTTACTGTACCTGCTTAATTTTGTGTGTGTACACTCCCATGAAGAAAAATATTCTTGACTTGTATAAAAGGACCCAATTTGTGGGCATAAAAAACAAACAATTTTGAAATAAGTTGTGCTTTTCCTCCAGAAAAGTCTCAGATGCAGTAAGTGGCAGCTCTAATGATAGGAGAGTTACTTTTTACAAAACGTGTAGCACTGTGCTCTGGTTAGTTCACTGCACAATTGGACAGGAGCATGACCCAGGGTGCTGAAGATGGAGGGGTAAGCAAATTGTGGGTCTAGTCCACTGATTTTCCAAGTGGCTCTGGGGTAAGTCACTTATCTTCACTGTACTCGGTTTCCACAAGTAGGCGGTGGGGTACCCTACACTCGCTTTCCTGACTGTGTCCCAGGGGTATTGGGAGAATCAGAGTTAATACTCATTAGTTCATAGGCTATTGAATATAAAAGACACCATAAAACCCCAAGAATTATTATTTACAGATAGGGCTAATGAAGATGAGGAGGTTTGGAGAAGCAAAGCATTTTTAAAAGGAACTTTATAAAGGGGGCATAAAGTTTATCAACTTTAGGAATATGAAGGCTGGTAGGCTAGTCACATAGGTATACCAAGTATGCTCAAAGATGTTTAGGGAAACCTGAATCAACTCACCACCAGAGAGATGTTACCAAAACTCTAGTATGTATCTTTTTTTCCAACTAGATTATGGACTCTGCAATAACATCTCATTAAATTAACTGGCTCATTAAGGCATGTTTTGCATTTGTAAATGTAGAGGCATTACAGTTAACTGTAATAACCAGTACTTGGCGTGTTTTACATATTTTCAAAGAATGCAACAAATAAGACTATAATCAGCCTTCTCCACCACTCTTAGCCTTTTGCAAGAGTATTATTCCTAGATTACATATAGAAGATGAGCACAGGGAGGATAAGTAGCTAGTCCAGGGCCACATTAAGAAACTTTATGTTTAAATAATAAGCTTGTGCTTTGATTTTATTCTCAAGTTCATGTATTAGTATTAAATATTCAATTATTTCTACCTTTGATCATCTGCTCAGATGCAGAGGCAGAAAGAAAAGCAGGTAAATGATACTGTTTTGCAGTAACGTTATGAACAGATAGAAGCATCTGAAGCCCTCCGATCAAAGGGAGGGCCCTCCTTGGTCTGCCTGGCGTCTGGTGTCCAGATAAGATGTTAAGACATAGACTAGGAAACAGCGCCAGGAGCATGAAACCAACACCAAAAGACACATTTCCAACACCATTGCACCCACAGAAGAGAGCAGCACACGCTAGGAGAAGCTGAAATGTGATTAGATGATTATTGGCTGTTGAGAAATGCTTCAAAAGGAGGACTTTACCTCACCAGGGAAGTTCCCATTGACAGTTTTACCTGCATCTCCAGACAAGGCAGCTGTGCTTTTACTTCTGGCCAGGAACGAATGTGTGGGCGTCAGGAGTCTGTTAACAACGCTGCTCTCCCACGGACTGAGCTGCAGGCGGCGAGCTAAACGTCACCACATAAGCAAGATGTTAGACGTGTTCTTTCCAGGGGCAAGAGAGTGCAGAACATCACACCTATCACTTCCATATGTGGGGCCCAGGAGAGAGACCAGGCTCTCCAGGGAAGACAGCTGGCAGTGAGTTGGGGCAATAGGACCTCTGCCCAAAGTGGGCAGCTAATCCATACCACTATTATTGCCTTTCTTAAAGATGTTAAGTTTGTGGCAAGCTCTGCATTAGTTTCACAGACTGAGGTTTTTCTAACCACCTTCTTGAGTAGTCAACAGATAATAAGACAGAAATATCATTCTGACTATAGGTCTGATGTGTATCATTGCTACCCCAGATTATACCTATCCAATGCTCATCAGGATAGGCAGAGGCCTGGTGGCACAGACCTCAGCCAGAGGGCTTCCTATGTACCTTGAGTAATAAATACCAAGAGAAGTTCTGACAGATTAATGGGAGACTATATTTATATAGAAGATAGAAAAGGTCCCCATTAAATGACTTGGGCAATTAGGGGGAGAAATTAGATACAATAAAATGAAAACAGAGTCAAGCAAAATTAGGTATAGGATGTCCTTTTTGGCTTTTCCATTCAGCAAGCCAGGATCTTTCAGGTCCCTCGTTGGCAACAGCATAAAAAGTTTGGCTGAGGCTAAGGTGAAGGAGGAAGCAAGATAAAATTAATCAGAAAAGCCAAAATCCAATGTAAACATAACCTTGGAGATTACTAGTGGCTATTCGAAGAATCTAGAAAACAAATTTTAAAAAATGCAATTAAGTATGGGTTCAAATTATATCATGGGTGGGCAAGATCACTATTCAGCAAGGCATGTTAATTATAAATTAATCACTTAGCTTTTAATGTTAGCTTCCAGTGATAGCCCATGCAAATAGAGAGGCTGTTTTCCAAAAATATCAGGGGAGCAAAGTGATCACACTCCCAAGTCACTTACAGAAGTGTTAACAATGGTCTAAACCTGACTACTGACTTTTGTTCTTCACCATCAACACTAATGCAAAGGCCCTTATCTCTGGGTCAAGTGTTCTTTTAACAATCTTCCATATGTCACATTTTAAAGGAATGACATTTAAATTCTAGGAAATTAAGTTTCAGTTAATAAAAGTCATATAAAGCTAAATAATATCAAAGAAAATAGTGGCTCCAATTTGGAAGGAAGTAACCAATTCCAGTATCTTAATCATCTGACTTTATCTATTTATATAACTTATCTGACTTTAAGAGAGTGGTTATTTGGATCAAGACTCTGGTCAATATAAGAATTAGCAAATCATTTATTAGATTTTCTGTTTTAGGAGAGTCTTCATGATGAAATTAAATCTTATTTGACATTAAAATATGAAGAAAATGCTCTGTTATAAAAAGTAAGTAACAGTTATATAGTTGGTAGAGCCTACCATGGAATAGCTGCTGCTATAAACTGTGACATGGCAATGTAACTCTGTGTGAGTGTGGGTACCTGCATGTGTGTATATGACAGCCTAAAGTTATGATACATTCACAGAATGAAACATCAATGGAGAAAAGATTGATGGAAAATCTTCAACAGAAGTAGTTTTTCAGTCGAAGAGAAAGATAAAAAGAGATGAACATTTCCTTTTCTTAGCTTAAAACTGCAGAGATGCTTATTACAAAGACAAGACTCTTATTTTCCATTAAGAGTTTCAATTACTGTATTTCTGTGAGTCTTCTAGGCATCAAAGAATTTGCCTCCAATGAAGATCACTAAGAATCTACTTTAACTTGTTTAAATATACCCAAAGAGATTTGCTGTATACCTGCCAACACTGTAAATGAATGGTGTTGCAAGGAGAAACATTTCTACCACATTTATAACTATGCCCTGACCAACACAGAGACAGATCTCTTCCATAAGATAACTTTTTAGGAAAGATTAGTAAAGGAGAGTTAGTTTATTGCTTTTTCACCTAGAAGGACTAGATATTTTAGATCATAAGCTCCCAAAAAGATATTTTCATGGAATTGTTCTGCACCGATCTTAATTAAGCACTTAAAAATTAGATATTGACAATTCCCATAATGAACCTTCTAGAGCAGAGGAGACAAACTCAAAGGCTTAGAGGGGCAGGCAGGTTAATACAAATAAGCAACCTGGGCTAAACAAACCTTATGTCTATCCCAATTACCACATTCCTCCTATAAACAGGAAGCCAGTATTCAGTCCTAGATAATGAGTGTGATGCAGAAATGCAGGCAAGTGTTACCATATCCAAATTTTTCATAGAAGTGGGAAATCCAAATGTTATATGAAATTTTCCATCTTTTAAATGTTTGTGATTGTTGTTGTTGTTGTTATGTGCCACTGAGTCAGACCTGACTCATAGTGACCCCTCCTTGGGTTGCCGAGGCAGTATCACTACGGAAATAGATTGCCCAACCTTCTTTCCGAGAAGTGGCTGGTGGGTTTGAACCACCAGTCTTCTGGTTAGCAGTCAAGTGCCTTAGGCACTATTCTACCAAAGCAAAAGTGAAAAACACTGGCACTAGTGGTCAGAATTCAACTTGAGTTCTACCACTGTGTGCTCTACTATAGATGCTAGGAAAACATATAGTGACTAATTTTAAACAAAAGGTAGGCAACTTCATTCATTCTGTTTTTTCCTCCCCAAAGTGCCCTATTAACTCTTCTATGAGAAAAAAGATGGTTAAACAGGTAGCTTAAGAATGCTACATTTTTTATGCAAACACGTCCAATAGCAATACTCTCTCTGCTTTAGCAATTGCAGAAATCCTTATCAGAGGTTTCCTCTAATGGAAGATATGTTATCAGTCCACATAATGCTATATTCAGGTGTAATGATCAAAAATATTTAAATACTGGTCAGGCACAGAAACAGAACTAACGGACACTAATCATTAGCTGAGGGCCTAGAGAACGACAGCTTCGGGAGAGCGTTATGAACCAACTGGTATGGACATATCTCAACAGTTTTAACAGCCAGTAGGGCACTCCTTGGAAGGAAGGTGGGGCAGTCTACTTCCATAGTGATACTGCCTCAGAAACCCAAGGAGGGGTCGCTATGAGTCGGGGTCGACTCGACGGCACATAACAACACAGGGCAGTATACGTGCATGCAGGTGAATGGCAGCCGTGATGGTCCTGGATCCTCAGTTTAATATCTTCTTTGAGGCCTGTGCCTACAGCTGGAGAAACTCAAACTACTTAGTAATGATACATATATCTGCCCCAGGCAGATTTGTATATAAAGGCTCTAAATTTAATAACTTGATTAGATAATAAAGCATATACCTAAGTGGTTAAAAAAAGTAGCAGAAAACTAATTAAATGAGTTAAATATTAGAGATGTTAAAATTATTCAGAATAATTTCAATTGTTACAAAGAGTTTAGCCTCTTACTATCCTACTAAGGGTTTTGCTTAACTCAAAAAAAAAAAAAAAAGTTTCCTAAAATAAAACAATTTTAAAAACTGGAAAAAATAAAATAAAAAAAATAATTCCTTCCTAGACCATATGGGGGCTCCCGGATGAACCAAATTTTCCTTGCAGGCTGACCTTGGCTGTTAGGCTACTAAGTGGTTCACAGTTCTTTTGATGCAGAGTCAGAGGTGCAGAACTTCCAAATTTCATGCTCCTCCATCTACCCTTCTGTCCAGCTTAGTACTCAATTTCCTAGGCCTGCACTATGATTCGTGGGGCTGTTTCCCGGCCCTGGCACCTAGGAACTGGCTATCGAACCTGCCTTGACCCTGGTGTTCTAACTCTCCAACTCTAACCTTACCCAAAGGAGGAATGCATGCAGTTAGAGTCAAGTCAAGGAAAGACAGCCATGAAGGTAAGTACTGATGATGCAGTATAGCAATAACATGGGTTAGGAGCTGGTGATCTCTGTTGTAGGATCTCTTTGGAAACAATTAGCCTGTAAGGTATTAAGTCAGACCCTGACCTCTTAGTGTCTCTATACCCCAGTTGGAGTAGATAGATCTCTCTTAAGAGATCTTTCCTAGTTCTAAGATTCTGTTTTCTTAAGAATATCTAACCAGATCCTGTCATGGAGAGTTCATGAAAGGCCTTCTCACCTCTAACTGACACAGACAATTGTGCACTGGTATTCTACAGTGGCTATTGTTTAGTGTATAGCCCATCTCCCATGCCTACCTTTACCCAATTTCAGTAGGAGGCAGTAAGCAAGGTAAACTTCAAAATACTATAAAATCCTAATTGTAGTTTGTCTCAGACCAGGTTCACAGAAGTATGAAATTGAGGTAATAAATAGGTGGCCAATTCCAAAGAAAATATGAACAGACAACAGTAAGATTAGTGTTCATATGCTATATTTTATGTTGTATGAAGGGAATGGGTTTGTAAAGAAAAGTTATTTATGGAACAAAATTTTAATTCATAATAATTCCTCTAACATACGAATACCCCTTACTCGACTACAAATCTAACATTGATTTTGAAGAAATGATCTAGGCAAGTTAGGTATTAAAAAAAAAATGGTTTCCGTTAAAAGGCAAGAATAGGAAGTTGTTCAAATGTTTACTGCTTTATCAGTTATAAAATAACATCAACACTTATATATCATATTGTACATTACAATGACACCATAACAACTTTTATACAATACAAAATATACAAATACACATACACACATATGGAACATGCACACATTACATTTTTTTTTTACAGACGATGAACACTGAACTTTTCCTCATCACTTTCTTCATAAAGTACTCAAAGTAACCACTATTCGTTACTTTTAAAGAGTTGTGTTTTCATATTGCACAATAATTCTTTGGTTTCTTATTTAAAATCATTATGTAAAATGGGTAGCTTATTTTAAAAGCTCAGTTTTTCGTTTATAATATTTAACTATATAAAATTATAGTTTCCCTTTATAAATAAACTCAACATTGATGTACTGTAAATCCATGGGATGAGTAAAATTAAAAATTCAAATAAAATGTTAGAGTACTGTGATTTTTAAACTTGTCAGGAAGCTATAATGATGATGACATCCTGGAAGTTAGGCCAAATCCTTGAAATGGACACCAAAAACCAACCACATACACAAGAAACGTAGTAAGAAATGTTTGGTTAAATGAGAAATAAATTGGTAAGGTGAAATCTACCAACATGAATCATTTAAAAAGCTTTTTTTTTTCTTTTTAAAGAAAGTCAAAGCCTAGCATTCCCAAAAGTACAGATGAAAAGCCAAAGACAGTGTGACTGAAGTCAAATACATGTTTATAACAAAGATTATTTGCATTTTGGTGGAAAAGTGGGCGATTTCTGGAGCTGTAAACTCGTTTACTAAAAGTTGAGAGAAGCACCGCTTTCATCACTGCTAAATGCAATCATTCAGCCGAGTTCTAAAATGAGAAATGTTCTCGTCGCAAGGAAAATGCTGCTCAGCCATTTACTGCTTTTTTACTTTGAAGTTTTTTTCTTCCTATTTAAGAAATGCAGGGAAAGCAACTTCAGATGCTTATTTTTATCTGTAAACATCCAGAAACAAAAAGCATTACGTAAAGAAAAGAACACTTTTTGTTTTCCTTTTCACTGTACCTCTATCTGGAGAATTTAGTAAAGTTGCTGATGAAGAGGAGAGCCGCTTGCTAATGACGGGATCAACATGTTTCGAAAGATTCATGGTGGAAACTGACCGCCTGTCAGGATCTAAAACAAATGGAGATAATGCGAATTGACAGCCCGCATGCAGTATCGCAATGTCCTAGTTCCCTGTTCACGGATGGAAGGAAAAACTGGGATTGGATGCTCTCAGTTCTGTCACTAGATCTCTCATAATAGCACAGTTTTCTAAGTGGACATTTTAAAGGTAACTTAAAAGCTAGAAATAAAGTTTATTTTATTTACAGGACCAAATAAATATTCAGTTCACCAGTGTGTCAGCCATGGACATTCAAGGATACTGTTGTAATACAACAAATGGTTGAAAACAAAAGGAATACTTCTGTATTCCTACTGCTAAAATCATGGAGTCTGTGCTGTAAACTGAAGAAACGGAAGACAACGAATGATGAAAGTGAATGGCTTTGGAACTTTTCAAAGTACGAACAATGAGGTGATTATAAAAAAAAAAGAAGAGCCAGTTGCTGTTGAGTTGATTCCAACTCACGGGGACCCCACGTGCATCAGAGCCCCAGTGTGCCCCCCAGGGCTTTCAGTGGCTGACTTCCTGGAGACAGATCATGAGGCCTTGCTTCCAAGGTGCCTCTGGGTGGACGTGACTCTCCAATCTGTCCCACAGCAGCCGAGCACTTCTGGTGGTGCCACCCAGGACTCCTGGGTAATAACAGGGCTGATAAAATAGAATGCCTGCATTGGAGTAAAATAGCAAGAGGTTCGGTGTATTTGGTGTTATCTCTGCTTGTAAAGTCATTTTACCCAGGACACTGAGGCTTAATCAATCATAAAGAATACATTTTTTAGAAAAGAAGAGGACAATAAAGAAAAAAGAAATGGTCTAGGAGTGGAAAGGATGAGAGCTAAAGCATTTCTTTTTTTAAAAAATCTACTACCAATCATACCTCTGGGCCTATGACACAGCATTTAGTGTGGTTTATGAGAGCGGAATCAGACCACAAGCTTTCCCATTAAAACTGATAGCAATATAAATAAAATCAGAATTAATTTCTCTAAGTTTGAACACCTTTATTTTTATCTGCTAACCGGTGAGGTAATTTTAGAATAATTCTTAAATTTCATGTATATGAAATTTATATATTCACATTTTACATGGAAATAGTAGTCTTATAAAAAAGCAATGCTAGTTCTGTGTTGATACCGTAGAACAAAGTCATACACTTGCCCACTAGCACAGATCATGCTCCCTGAACAAAACTCTATGTACCAAGCCTAAAATGTCTCATTATAGTCATCTGGGAGGTAGGTGGATGTTCTGATCCACAATAGCCAAAGTTAAAAAGGTGTTTTTTGTTTAAATATATCATTCTACTTTCCACTATTAGCTTCTTCTAAATCAAAAGCTGAAAATATTCCTTGTAACAGATGCCTTCAAAATCCAGTTCCATTGCCCTAACTCTGGCAGTAATGGTTTCACAGTGAACTTTCCTCAAAGTACGACCAGTTTCTGACTATTTGCAGTGTACTGGTTATGAACAAGCCCTCTATCAACATCAGACATTCATATCTTCTACTGGGACCTGTTTTTATGTCTGAAGCAATTTTATTCAAAAACACACATCATTTCTGTAACTTCCGTCTACACTTAATTCATGGGCTCTTAGGGCACTGCCAACATAAAGATAAAATTCAGTGTAAACCATGAAAAGGAACATGAATGATGAAATGTGAGGTTCAAGGGCACAAGGAAAGACACTGACATTCATCTCCAGGTGACTTCACAGTAAAACATTTTCTGATGTTGCTTTATATACTAAGTTTTGGTTGGGGGACATTATGCCTACATATAAAAAAAAATAGTTCTGCTTTAAAGTAAATGGAAAAATGAGCTAGACTAGGTCTTTCCATCTCAAAAAATACTATGAATAGTAAAAGATCCAAATCTGCCAATATGGTTAAAATGAAGGGATAAAATTAATTTCTTATATTATTTAATGGACAATAAGATCATTTTTATTCATTTCTAGGCACTGCCATGAACAAATGGGTATTCAAAATGAGTAAGACCTGGCCTCTGCTCCCAAGATCACAACAGATAACTTTCTGACCTCTGAGGACTTTAAAAACTTCCAATTGTTTTCAGACAAACTTCTCTGTTCCAGTATAGCAGCAATTATCTCTAATCCACTGCCTTTGTAAAAATAGATTTTATCCAAACAGCTCACAATATTGCTTTTTCAGTAATAAAGATCATATATTAAACTCTGAGTAATTATTATTTAGAGTTATGAAGTATAACAGAGTATACTCCTGTGATAACATCTAAAACATGACATCAAGTGAAAGAAAACTAAGTTATGAAAATATTTATCATGACAGGTTTTCTATGTGTAAAGTATATACAAAACTAGCCTTAAAAGGAAATACACATGTAAACGACCCAGTGATCACAGATTTGGAACATATCCCATCAAATACCACTGGTTTACAAAAAGCCAAGGGGACAGAAGTTGCTTTCAAATGAGGCCACCAAAGTAGTTTCTGGTGATAAGCTTTTAGATTGTCTTTCAAAGTAAAGGGGTCATAGAAGATATGCTGGATGTTAGGAGTGAAAAACAAGGGACAACAACAACCCACAGTCCTTTAGATCACAACTAAAAGGCAAATAGCAATAACACTTTAGGGGGTGGGGGAGTCAAACAAGATGTACTGTAATTTCAGGTAATTTACTAAAAACATGTCTTAAGGCCTTATCTAAAATGATCTTTTACAGTGAAAGCACGTGTACCACACGCAGTAGCTTTATTTCTAACCTTTAAGTCTCCTAAGGCATAGCATCACACTTAAACACTGTGCCATATACAGATCTAGGTCTATGCAATCAGATATGAAGCGTGCATTATGACTAAAGTGGTGATGGCCCTAGGTCTGAGGTGTAAGCCACAGGTCAGGCAGTCAGCAATCACAGGGATGTCTGTACTAGATTTTCTAGTACCACCCAAAGCTGTGCTGTGGTGGGGCAGGCCTGGTAAATCGAGAAAGGTGAATGACGATTCAGCAAAACCACCTAAGGACAGAACGTAAGACAATGATTGTTCAAAGTAAAAAAAAAAAAAGCTGTTAGACTCACACAGATGTAAAAGAACTGATGCAGTATGCAAAATTCAAGGTGTATTGAATTTACTCGACAGTAGTGAGTTTGGTTTTTTGAATTTACAGTACAAAAAATAAAGCTTTTCACTACATGCAAATTGCAGTATGATTTATGTCCATTTGAGGAGAGAGACAGCTCAGACATTTGCTACTGTTTCTCCTTCAGAAACCTGCACATTTCCACGCAGAGTATTAGTGTTGCATACGCTGAGGGTCAGAAGACAAAGACTCACAGCACTGAAAACTAATTTCCATTAGTTAATATTATTTTGATTCTTCCAGGGAAAAGGAGAAAACCATAGTTCTAAAACTCTTAAGCAAATGAATTACTTAAACTAATGTAGAGGAGAAACTAGCCTGTTTATTTAGAAACAATGCATACATATCTATCTCTTTAAGGACTTGTGTAACAATGAGAAAAGCAGCCTGCATTAAAGTAAAGAAAGAACCTGGCCTTCTTACCTCCATCACCCTCTTATCCTCCAAAGGTGGATGCATCATTTACTGTAGTTGAATTATTTTAGCAGGAATTTTGTTTCGCAAACACAGACTTAGGAAAAGAAGCAAATACATTTTAACTGTCCAGGAAAAACATACTGCTTTTGAAAGGTGTCACTGTCTGTTTACCTGCACTGTGGATGTTGGGGATCCCATGGAGAGGGCCACCCCATGACCACCGGTTATGCTTTTGTCTTGGCTTCTGGCTCCTCTCCATTGTACGCCGTACAACGGCTTCATGGCGTTCCTGGAATGGAACAGAAGAGCTGATGACTAAACCTAAAGTGGTCGTTTGGGGCTTCTTCAACTTAAGGCAGAGTACGCAGGGCAGCTTTTAAATTTACACCTATCATATCAAACCTACTTCCTAAGGTCCCTGGGCCTCAACCACCTTATCTTTAAAGTGGGAATACCTACCTGGCATAGCCACAAAGTAGCACAAGTCTTCTCATACACAGATGCTTGACAAACGTGGTTGTTTGGTGCCACTGAGTCAATTTTGACTCATAGTGACCCCATGTGGCATAGTGGAACTACCTCACAGGGTTTTTTTGGTTCACTTGTTTGGTAAAATAGAGGGTACGTGAAAAAGAGAAAGACACTCAACGAGACAGACTGACACAGCAGTTGCACCAATGGGCTCAAGCACAGCAATGATTGTGAGGATGGCACAGGACCCGGCAGTGTTTTGTTCTCTTGTACAGGGGGTCACTATGAATCAGAACCAACTCAATGGCACCTAACAACAACAAAAACAACAACAACAAATCTTTATGGAAGCAGACTGTCAGGTCTATAAAAATGACATAAAACGAAACAAAAAACCCAGACTCACTGCTATTGAGTCGATTTGACTCATAGCGACACCTCCTTGGGTTTCTGAGGCGATTTATCTACAGACATAGATTTCCCAGTGAAGTGGCTGGTGGGTTTGAACTGCCAGCCTTCTGGTTAGCAAATGGAATTTGGAATCTGAGGACCCGATGACTTGCTGAGTCATATGATCTTATGTACTTCAATCAGTCTAAGTCTAAATTTCTATTTTTACAAAAACTGATAGAAATTTAGACTCAGACTGATTGAAGTACACAAAATCATATGACTGAGCAGTGTAGTGCCTAAGACAGTTGACTGCTAACCAGAAGGCTGGCAGTTCAAACCCACCAGCCACAGGAAGATTGGGCAATCTACTTCCAAAGTGATACCACCTCAGAAACCCAAGGATGGGGTGCTATGAGTCAGATCTGACTCAACAGCAGTAAGTTGTTTTTTTTTTAATGTGAAAACGTTTGCAAATGATAAAGTCCTACACAACTCTACAGTGGTCTTAACAATGCAGTGTAGAACAACAGATAATAAATAATTGCAGGTCAAGACAGAAAGATGGCTTTTAATAAATCTTTTGGGGCACTAAAATTGATCACCCCCATTGCCTGCAGCCTGACAACTCTAGAAACCAGCCTATCAGTAAAGCTGACTGCTCTGAAACAACTGGGCTCCGTATCCGCACACCGTTGTGTGGGGTGTCAGAGTGCAGGTGCTGCATTTCTGAACTAGAAGGGCCTCCCGTGTGCCCGAGCGGCATCTCACTTTGTCCTCCTCAAGCCGCTGCCTCCGCTTCTCCTCCACAGCAGCCCGCCTCCGCTCCTCCTTCAGCCTCTGCTCCTCCAGCCTCTTCTTCCGCTCCTCCAGGTGTTTCTCGTAGTGCTGCCTGGCGCGCTCTTCTCTCTCCAACCACACAATCTCTCTTGCAGCTTCAGTGAGAAAAATGAGAGAAATCAAACACAGGCAGGCTTAAAACTCAAACAGTGAAGGGTGCTTAAGTGATCTACATTTACCAGATATGGCATTTTCTGGTTTATGTATGTCGTGGTCAAGTTTGTGTGTCAACTTGGCGTGGCCTGGTTGAGTGGCTGGGCAGCTGAATGTAGTATTCCCCATGATGAGACTGGTAATCAACTCCATGGTGGAATCTACTGTGAGCAGCTGAGTAGCTGCTGTAGGGATGTGGTCTGCTTCCCGTATATAAGAAACAACTCTGGGAATGGTCTCTAGCTTATGGCACCCTTGAACCCTGTGTGTAGCCATGTCATTGCTCAGCAGCCTGCCATGCTCTGCCTACCTTGGGACTTTCAATGGACTTGAATGAATGGCCTGTGTGGCTTGGTAACATTAAGACTGTGCCATTTTATTTGTTGACCTTGGGCTTGTTAGCCTCAGCAGCCAGTAGCTGCCTGAGTGAAGACATGCCTCTAGCTTCAGTGGACCAGGAGCAAGAGACAGAGCTGAAGCCCAAAGTCAAGGGGCTTTCACACAGCCTCTAGAGCATGGCACTTTGCACTTGATTTCTAGCCTCCTGAACTATAAAAGAATAAACTCCTGTTTGTTCAAGCCACCCCATTTGTGGTATATTCTTGTCAGAGTGGCACTAGGAAACCAGAACAATGTATTAACCAAGTATGGCCTTTGGCTTTCCTTAGATTTTTTTTTTTGGGGGGATGGAATACTAGAGTTAATTTTTAGCATAATTTAATATGCTAACAATAAAGTCAAAGAAGATGTGCTAAATTCCCTTCAGGTACCTCTTCGATCTACTTGTGTGGTTACTGTTACTACAGAATAAGACAGAAACCGCCTCCCTTGCACTCAGTTCTGATACTGATAACACCCTTAAAAGCAATAGTATTGTCTCTCCTTTTGGGTTTATCTTGGATCTAGCTCACTTTTTTTTTTAAAAAACATGAAACCCAGCGAGCACAGTTCTACTCTTAATACAGAAGGTCACCATGAATCAACTCAATGGCAACTGGTTGGTTTGTAAGATGTTAACATTAGGGAAAGTTGAATGAAGAGTACTCAGGAACCCTCTTTGTAACTCTTCTGTAAATCTGACTTTATTTCAAATGAAAAAGTTTTAAAAAATGTGATATCATCAAGATCAAAAGTCTGTGACCACATTTCTTTAAATGTAGTACTGATTCTCTATGAGCATTAAAAGATAACCAGTATTAATTAATTATGGAATGCTGTCTCAGCTAAGCAATGTGAGGGGCCAAATAAGCAGCCGACCTGTTTTTGAGGAGCTTATAATCCAGGTAAGAGGACTTCAAAACATGACAAGCTGAAGAAAACTACACACTTCAAAAAATACTATTCAATGATGGACCGTCTGTCATTACTTCTTTATATATATATATATCCCTGGTGGCATAGTGCCTAAGGCATTTAACTGCTAACCAGAAGGCTGGCAGTTCAAACCCACCACTCATTGGAAGGAACACTGGGGAATCTACTTCCGTAGAGATACCACCTCAGAAACCCAAGGAGGAATCACTATGAGTCGGATTCAACTTGATGGCAGTGAGGGTTTTTTTTGGTTATATGTATGTGTGTGTGTATACATATACACATGTGTGTGTGTGTGTGTGTATATGTCGCTGTTGTTGTTAGGTGCTGTCGAGTCGTATCCGACTCAGCAACCTTGTGCACAGCAGAACGGAACACTGCTCGGTCCTGTGCCAGCCTCACAATCCTTGCTATACCTGAGCCCATCGCTGCAGCCACTGTGCCAATCAATCTTGCTGAGGGCCTCCCCCTTTTTGGTTGACCCTCCACTTTACCACACATGATATCCTTCTCCAGGGAATGGTTCCTTCTGACAACATGACTAAAGTAGGTGAGATGAAGTCTGGCCATTCTCGCTTCCAAGGAGCATTCCAGCTGCATTTCTCCCAGGACAGATTTGTTAGTCCTTTTAACAGACCATGGTACTCGTACCATTCTTCTCCAGCACCATAACTCAAAAGCATCAACTCTTCTTTGCTCTTCCTTATTCATTGTCCCGCTCTCACATGCATAAGAGGCCACTGAAAATACCATGGCTTGGTTTAGGCACACCTTAGTCTTCAAGGAGACATCTTTGCACTTCATCATTTGAAAGAGATCTTTTGCAGATTTGCCCAATGCACTTTGTCATCTGATGTCTTGATTACTGCTTCCACTGGTGTTGACTGTAGAAGCAAGTAATATGAAGTCCTTGACAACTTCAATCTTTTCTCCATTTATCATGAAGGTGTTTATTGGACCAGTTGTGAGGAGTTTTGTTTTCTTTATATTGAGGTGTAATCCATACTGCAGACTGTAGTCTTTAATCTTCATCAGTAAGTACTTCAAGTCAGCCTCTCTTTCAGCAAGCAGAGTTGTGTCATCTGCATATCGCAGGTTGTTAGTGGGTCTTCCTCCAATTCTGGTGCCATGTTTTTCATGTAATCCAGCTTCTTGGATTATTTGCTCAGCATGCAAGGTGAATAAATATGGTGAAAGGATACAACCTTGATGCACTGCCTTCTTGATTTTGAACCATGCTGTATCCCCTTGTTCTGTTCAAACAACAGCCTCCTGATCTATGTACAGGTTTATCATGAGCACAATTAAGCGTTCTGGAATTCCCATTCTTCTCAATGTTGTCTATAATTTGTTATAAGCCACACAATCAAATGCTTTTGTGTAGTCAATAAAACACAAGTAAACATCTTTCTGGTGTTCTTTGCTTTCAGCTAAGATCCATCTGACACCAGCAATGATATCCCTCATTCCACATCCTCTTCTGAATCCAGCTTGCATTTCTGGAAGCTGTTAATATACTGCTGCAGCCATTTTTGAATTACGTTCAGTAAGATTTTACTTGCATGTGATATTAATGATGTTGTTGCTGTTGTTGTTGTTGTTGTTGTGTGCCATCGAGTCAGACCCAACTCGTAGCGACCCCTCCTTGGGTTTCCGAGGCAGTATCACTATGGAAGTAGATTGCCCCATCTTCCTTCCGAGGAGTAATACTGTTTGTTAATTTCCACATCCTGTGGAATGCTGACTGCTAACCGAAAGGCTGGCGGTTCAAACCCACCAGCCACTCCTCGGAAGGAAGGTTGGGCCGTCTACTTCCGTAGTGATACTGCCTCAGAAACCCAAGGAGGGGTCTCTATAAGTTGGATCCAACTCCACAGCAGTGAATTTGGTGTTTTTTTTTTTAGTAACAGCGTATGAGTGTCCAAAGCATGAAAAAAACCCACAAAAACCTAATTTGTATGCAAGACCTAGAAATAAGTGGTATGATAAATGCATTTCTTAACTTTTAGTGTTCAAACTATTTAGTTTTTGGCTTTTATACCCCATTTTAAGGAAAATTTAGATTCTTTGGGACTATTTATGAACACAATGTATTCCTTTCCTATAATAAATCTGGAAGATAAAATGAGAAATAAAGATATTTATAAAATATTAAGAAATAAAAAACTGGTAAGATAAATTTGTAAGCCTAGGTAAAGTAGGAGTTAAGTCAGTTCTAGACTAATTTTCCTTAAAAAAATGTTTTTCATCAAGCTATTTTCTTACTCAAGAATGTGAATATTTCCTCATTAAATATAAATCCCCTGATTTCTAAAATCCTACTTAAATTTGACCTTAATGTCCTTACTTGGCTTTAATGCAAACTCTTCATTCTAATTAGATTGGTTTCCTCACTGCACCTCCCAAACTAACCATAGCTTTGTTCCCATTGCTTTCTTTTGGGAAAGTTGCCATAGCTTTTGATCAAAATGCATCCACCCTTTCAGGCAGTAGCATAATTCCTATTATGTGTCTCTAAATCACCTTTGGGGAGCTCTGCTAGCATAGTGGCTAAGGCACTTGACTGCTAACCAGAAGGCTGGTGGTTCAAACCCACCAGCCACTCCTCGGAAGATGGGGCAATCTACTTCCGTAGTGATACTGCCTCAGAAACCCAAGAAGGGGCAGCTATGAGTTGGGTCCGACTTGACGGGCACAAAGCAACAACAAAAATAAATCACCTTTGGAGATGGAGGGGGTTGGCTGTTAAAACGCAGACTCTTGGGCTGCAACTTTCACATTCTGATTAGCTAATTCTAGCAGGGGGCCCAGTGTCTAAGTTCTCTAGTTCTGCTGTAACAGAAATACCACACATGGATAGTTTTAACAAATACAAATTTATTCTCTTATAGTTTAGGAGGCTAGAAGTCCAAATTCAGAGTTCTGGCTTTAGGGGCTGGGTGAAGTCCCCTTGACTTGGGCTTTAGCTCTTCCTCTAGTTCCTGGTCCAGTGTAGCTGGAGGCTTCCTTCTGAGTCATGCTGCTGCTGAAGGTGATGAACCCAAACTTGATAGGTAAAATGATACAATGCCAAGATCAGCAGGCAGTAAGTACATCAGGCCTGCTTCAAGTCCAGGAACAACCCCACGATTGGTAGATAATGTGTCAGGCCACTGGTTCAAATCCAGAAACTCGAGATGAACAGTTGGCCAAATGTAGGATCCACAATATGCCAAGGAGCTAGAAACCTTTCTTAACACTTCTTATATGCTGGAAGCAGGCCACACGCCAAAGGCAGCTTACTTAGCTGCTCACAGCACATCCCACACCATGGAAATGATCACAGTCTCATCATGGGCAATAACTACATCCATGGCCCAGCCAAGCTGATGAACATTAACTACCACACCCAGTAATCTGTATTTTTGATAAACCTCAAGGTGACTGAGGCAAGTGGTTGACTAATAATGCTTGGAGAGACACTACCCTTAAGGTAGAAGCTTTGTCTTTTTAGGGCTCACAGCTGTTCTTACAATGGCTTCTGATACAAACTTCAACCAGTCACCCTGGAGTGGACCCTGACTCAGGGCAGCTCTCTGTATGTGAGAGTAGAACTGTGCTCCAGAGGGTCTCCAATGACCAATTTTTC